CGGGGCACGAACCCATGTCCCCTGCATCGGCAGGCGGACTCTCAACCACTGCGCCACCAGGAAAGCCCAATGGAGCAGGTTCTTGAAGAAGACAGGAAGCTTTGAAGGAGAGGCCCCACCATACACACACACGCTACACACATACACGCACACACAAAGAGTTTTAGAACAGCTTTAGAGGTACAGAAAAGTTGCAGAGATACTACAGAGAGTCCCCTTGTACTCCTCCCCGTCTCCCCTCTTGTTCACAGCTTATATTCCCAGGGCACACTTGTCACAGCTCAGAAACCGGCATTGGTACATTACTCTTAACTAAGCTAGACTTACTCGGATTTCACCTGGTTTTCCAGCCCGGTCCCCTTCCTGTTCCAGGATCCCACCCACAACACCACATGATGGGTGTCCTGTCTCCTCCATCTCCTCTTGCCTGTGACAGTTTCTGTCTGTCCTCATTTTTCATGATCCTGACAGTTTTGAGACATTCTGGTCAAGTATTTTGTAGAATGTCTGCAGGTTAGGTTTTGTCTCGTGTTTTTCTCCTGGCCCATCTTCTAAGAAGAAACTGAGCGTGCGTGAGGAAATAAAGAAATCTCCAATAAAACGATGGGGAAAACTGTCCTTTTTCCCTCCGATATCAAATAGGTGGGACCTTTTCTGGCCTGAAGGTGGAATGCGTCCCTTTGGCTTTTGTTGGAAAGCGGTAACCGGGCCGACTGGGCAGAGCCTGTGGCTGGGAGTGGAGGGATTGTACCTTCTACTTCTGTCCCCACCAGACCGGTTGGTGATGGTGGGCAGGTCGCTGCCCTCTTTCAGGAACCCCATGAGCAGGGAATTGTCTAAGCATCCTCGGCCTGCGCACTCTAGTCCTACCATGATGGGTAAGAGGCGGGCTGCAGCCGTGGCCTCTGTGTGGCTGACATTCCTGCCATGTACTGTTCATTAACCCTGGAGGAAACAGTCAACTTCTTGGTCCCCCAGACCCCTATTTCCTTATTTTATGGAGTCCCTCAATAACTTGCTGGCATCCTTTTTTTTTTTAATTGGAGTATAGTTGATTTACAATGTTGTGTTAGTTTCTGGTGTACAGCAGAGTGACTCGGTTATATGTATATAGATATTCTTTTTCATATTCTTTTCCATCATGGTTTATTACAGGATATTGAATATAGTTCCCTGTTCTATACAGCAGGACCTTGTCGTTTATCTATTTTATATATAGTAGTTTGTATCTACTAGTTTCAAACTCCTAATTTATCCCTCCCCCATCCCTTCCCCTTTGGTTTTCTGTGTCTGTGTGTCTGTTTCTGTTTCGTAAATAAGTTCATTTGTGTCATATTTTAGATTCCACATATAAGTGATATCATATGGTATTTGTCTTTCTCTTTCTTACTTCACTTAGTATGAGCATCTCTAGGTTCATCCATGTTGGTGCAAATGGCATTATTTCATTCTTCTTTATGGCTGAGTAATATGCCACTGTATATATGTACCACATCTTCTTTATCCATTCATCTGTTGATGGACACTTAGGTTGCTTCCATGTCTTAGCTATTGTGAATAGTGCTGCTTTGAACATTGCGGTGGCACCCTTTTTTAAAGGTTAAAGCTCTTTTATGGTGCTTGCTGGTCATTCCTGTTTGGTTTCTCCTAGGACTCAAGTAGCTGGGGACGAGAGCGAGGTGGGGGGCTGGGGGACCCCTTTGTGCACTCCGAAAAGTGTGCCCTCCTGGAAAGTGCTCTGAGCTCCCCAGATAGCACTGCCTGCACACCCGGGAAGGCCACTGTTAAGTGGTGTCATGGCCCTGTGACCTCCAGCCAACTGAAGCGTTTTCTCCAATAGCGTTACAGAAAACGGGGCAGCTGTTGGCAGCACCCCTTCAGAAAATGGGGCAGCTGTTGGCAGCAGCCCTTCAGAAAATGGGGCAGCTGTTGGCAGCACCCCTTCAGGCCAGTTAACTCAGTAATTCAAACAAAACGGGCAGCAGTGCTCATTTCTCTGTGATTTTGGTGAACCGAGCCTCCCAGTCCCACCCCTGTCCTTCCTTCCCCCTGGGTTTCTTGAACCTTCCTCCTCACTCATGGTGAGTTTTTAGGCATAAGAAACTGAGATCTATTACTGCTTTTTCCACTTTTTTTTTTTTTTGGCCGCACCATGTGGCATGCGGGTTCCCCAACCAGGGATCGAACCTGAGCCCCCTGCAGTGGTAGCACAGAGTCTTAACCACTGGACCGCCAGGGAAGTCCCATGCTTTTTCCACTTCTGCAGAGCCAGCCTCTTTTCCTTCCTCCTGATGTTAGGTCTGGGATGGTGTCCAGATGTGGCAGGACCCTGGACTCCTCTCCTGTATCTGGCCTTGTCCTTGGCCGGGGTGGGACCTTCTGGGACACTGTTCTCCACACAGTGTTCTTGCCACCTGTGCGTGTGGACCAGGTCAAAGGTAAACGACTGGCTCAGGATCCTCAAAACTAAAACTGGAAGTTTCATTTGGGTGCTGTTACCTGTGCATGGGATCACTCCCAAAGAGACCCAGCTCCTGGCCTGACAAGCTTCTGGGCAGAGTGGAGCTGTCATCATATTTTATAGCTTCGTTCTTTTGGACGGGATTGTTTTTGTTTTTTTTGTGGTGACTCGTCTAAGAATTTTTCCAGCAGAGTAAGGGGTGGATGAGTAACTTTATCCACAGGGAGAATGACTGGAGGATAATCCTTGGATAAGTGCAGGTAGCCTAGAGCAGAAAGGACGTGAAAGGACACGGCTCTCTCAGGCCCAGGTGCTCTCCAAGATAAGGGCGAGAGGGGAGACTGAGGCCAGGGCTTGTGGCTCAGTGCTAACCACAATCTAGGACTACCTGCAAGTGCATGTGAAGCTCCAGCCTCCAGGCTTTTCAGGTTAATGCTTTCATATTCCCAAAGTTGCCAATGGCCTCCGTCTTCCATTTTCCAGGAATCTGATTGGGCCTACTTGTGTTGGGGGTGGAGAAGGGGGAACTACTCCCTTCTTTCTTATAACTCTCCAAGACCCCAGGGGAGCTAGACCAGGGTCTTGGGTCTTAGTCCCCAGTGCACCGAGATTTCCCAGCTGGGCCCTTGTTCTAAGAGGTCCTGAGAGTCAGGAGAACCCAGACTGAACCAGAGCATCCGAGCTCACCACGCCTGTTTGCCAGATGGGAGAACTGAAGCAATAGAACTCTAAGGAATTCCAGACCCTCACTGTGGACACCTCTACGGGAGTAGACAAGGGTTTTTTATTTTTTGGCCGCGCCAGGCAGCATGCGGGATCTTAGTTCCCCGACCAGGATTGAACCTGGGCCCTCCCTGCAGTGGAAGCACAGAGTCCTAACCACTGGACCGCCAGGGAATTCCCTGTAGACAAGGTTTTAACTCTACTGCAGTGTGAAGTCTTGGGTCGCCCTTCCCACTGTTGCTGTCTCCACTCTCCACCCAGCACGTCCAAACCCACTGCAAAGTCATGGGAAAAGGAGAGAAGCAGAGACAGAGAAGAGGCCTGTCTATACTGCAGGCTGTCCTGGCCCTTGGGGCAAAGAACCCAGCTCCCTGAGGAGGAGGGTTCTGACACCGGGTGCCTCTGTTGAGGAGGGTGGGCCAGCGAAACCTGGGGCTGGGCATTGGCCCTGAGCCCACACACCCTAATCCAGCCGGCCACCACCCACAGCCTGTGAGTCACCCCAGCAAGCCCTGGTACAGGCCAGCAGCAGTGGGGAGGGGAGCTCAGCTGGCCTGGCGGGGCTTGGCAGGGGGCCTCCTCCCTGGCATCAAGTTCAGCAGTGCCTGACGGGCCTGGATTGATGCCTCAGTCTTTCCTTACTGGGAGAGTCTGCCCTTTAGGGTCCAGTATCTCAACTTGCCCACCTATGAAATGGGATTTTCACTAAATTATAGGATCAGACAATCCTCTGGAGATTTCTTATCTAATGTTTACAAGGATCACCCATAAGTAAATGTCCACCTAAGCCCGGAGTCGGGTGGGTCAGCTTGTTAGGCTTCCCTGTGTGAAGAGAGAGGTGCCAGCTGTGGGTAGGTTTCACCGAGCAGCATGGTTTAGTCCGGAAACACAGGTGCCCTCACAGCCCAGGGAGGTACCTACGCGTTGGGCGATGTTTTTTCTTTTTTTTATTGTCTGGTATATATACAGAGGAGTGCAGAAAACACAAATAGTGTGAAGGATAATTATGAAGTGAATATCCGGGCCACTACCACCCAAGTCAAAGCTAGAATATCGCCAGTGCCCTAGA